TAGTGTTATTGACGCCGTTATTCTGAAGGCCATTGGCGGCGTGCATCGTTCTGCCGTTCTCCTCTCTGGCCCCGGGTGAGGCAGGGCTACCAGGCTCCCTCTGAAGGATCTTGCTGACCGAGAGTCGATGCTGATGCACCGAGTTGGCCGGGACGTGTTGCACCTGGGACGTTTGATGAAGGTGAACGTGGCTGTTCACGTGGTGCAAATGCTGATGGCCAGGATGAGGCATCAACGAGGCCGTCTCCCGAGGATCTCTGCAGGCGGTTGGATGGAGGACAGGGGTGGTCGCTTGCAAGCCGGTGACCGTCATAGCAGACGGTGGTGACAACGACAGTCTGGTGACCAAAGGAACGCTGATCGGAGTCCGGTGAAGCCTCTCCACGGTCGGGTAGACGATCTCGTGGCTCAGACTGTGCTGAACTCGAGCCGGATAATCGGGTATCTCGGTCTCCCTCGACGAATATCGCGGTAGCAAGTGTTGCGCGGGATGATTCGACTGATACCTGGGCACTATGACGTCTTGAATGGCCTCGGGCCGACCCGGGGACGAGGCAGTGGCCGAAGAGGAAGCCGGCGACCTGACCGAGGAGGCCGTAGGCGACGACGGTGGTTGACTGTAGGCCGGTGGACTCGGTGCCGAGATGTGATTAACGGTTCGCTGATAGAACGCATCGTTGCAGCTCGTCGAGCTGGAAGGAGACGGCGTCGCCGATATCCTCGTGTTCTCCTCGTCGCGAAAGTCGCCGCGACTGCTCGCCGACTCGTGGTCGTACCTGACCGAGTCGCAACCACGGATTCCAACGACGCTGGTGGGCGTCGGTTCGCTACCGACGCTCAACACCTCGCTGGTGTCGCTCTCGCAATCGCTGTCAGGGTTGTTGCCGTCACTTCCTCGTATCTGATCCCGTTTCTCGGAGTCCTCGGAGGGCTCCGATCGGCTCGCCGCGCGATTCTGTCTGATCTCGTGGAGATCGTTCGACTCTAAACCGATGGACGATTCCGGTGGCGTGCTCGACATGATTCTCTCTTTCTCGTTTTCTCTTCCTCTTTTTTTTCTTTTCTCTTTTCTTTTTCTTTTCTTTTCTTAAAACTTCTTCCCTTCCTCGGCGTTTCGCCGAATCGGCACGATCGGCACGAAGAAAGCTAAATCCTGTCGCTTCTTCGAGTCTTCGACCTCGTCATGACTCTTGAGTGCTGCAGGGACTCTTTTCGCTTTCGCTTTGTCTCTCGATCTTGACTCGACGGTCAGACGTCGAGTGTTGTCGGTGACCGTTCGACGTACCTACCTAACGGATTCCATCCGCTGCGAGTTGCCTGGAGGGACCATCGTCTTGGCGCAGGGCACCTGTCCGATCATTGGCTGTCTGTAGATCGTCGACAAGCAAACCCCGACGTCTCAATCGCATAGTGTCTCTGACCTCTATCCGTGGGATATACACACACACACA